ATTGTGATATAGAATCTCAGCCAGGTCATCTGCAATTAGAGCTTTGTGAACTTCAATGTGACCCATCCTTAAACACATCTCAGGTTACTGGAATTGACTTTTGGAAACTGCTTTCACCGGAACATTACCCACTGTTACGAAATTGGGCTCTCAAACTTTGCTCTGTTTTTGCAAGTACTTACATATGCGAAACAGCATTTTCTTCACTGAAGCATGTAAAGTCTAAGAACAGGAACAGACTTTCAGATGTCATGTTATCACATATTCTTCAAGTGGCAATGTCACGATTAGAAGTGGATTTTATATCATTGGTTTCCAGTTTTATGAAACCACAGTGCTCTCATTAAAACAGTGTGTATATGAGGATTTAGGTTTGATCATTAGACCATAAAAACTATGATTGAAAGTCTTTTGTGCTGTTTTATGGTAAGTAATTGCAAATTTCAAGGCATTTTATTTTTCTTTCTTAAATTATAATTCCATTTTTCCCCGGCATATATAAAACTAAACATAAGGCATGATCTGGCCACTGTTTCTTTAAGAAAAAATGCTCTGGGGAGTAGAAGTGATAGAAGGCAATAAAATCGATTGGTGAAATTTTCAATATCGGCTTAGTATTATCAGTGCAACGTAAAATTTAAATACATAGGTTTAAATGCACTTGTTTTTACACGGGTTGTGACTGATTCAGTTTGGGGGGCAATACTCCCCGACCACTCTTCTGAAAGAAACACTGTATCTGGCCCCTGATGGTGTTCTATAGACTAAATCTGGCCCTCAAGATGTATTAGGTTGGCCAATGCTGCTCTATATAATACCTTAAGGAAAGAGCACAAACTGACAGGATGAACAGCAAAGGAAAACAATATCTTACAAGTCTTCCTGACCTATCAGCTATATACTGACACAATTTCCTGAACTATTACTAATGTGCAAAAAAAACTATGACATGCTTAACACTCAAATTGCAGCACATTGGTTCAAGCACCATGTTGGCTTGCAAGGATTTCAGATCCTCGGTAGTGACTGAAGATCACTGTCTTCTGGGATGTGATGTTCATAGACTGTTAATATTTCAGAGGACCCTGCTGCCCCCATCTTCAGGGTAAAGTGTAAGTTGACCATGGAAAGTGGTACAGATGTAGGAAGAGGAAGGGCCAGAGCAGTCTTCTTGGAATGCTAATAGTTGCTCAGTCAAAAAAATTCCCCACCTCAAAGCTGTGTTCATAAGAACCCCACACTGGTCTCTACCCAGTATTCTGATCAACTTGTTTCTTTGTAAACACCCTGTTCTGAGCACAAAGCAAACACTGTTTCTCTTATCATGAACTTTACACACTTAGTTCAGGAGATGGAAACCAGAGAAAGATGTTGCTTCAATAGTTTTATTACTAATATAAAAGCAGCATTACACTCAAGTGAATAACATGGCATCAGTACAGTGGTAAGTAAAGTTACCATATTACTGACATTGCTCACTGATGCATTCTAAAAATGCATCATAAAGTTCAAATAAATCCATAATATACAACTGATGAAATGTAATGCACCGTGATAACAAAAAGTACAAATTAATATTGTGGCATGTAATCTGTTTCTAGGCAATGACAAAAAATAAACAACTACATAATGGTCAAAATGCAATATTATAACATGCTCACCACTTTCTATAATAATTGGTCTAAAGACACTGCATATTGTTTCTCACATAAATGTCAATGATCACAGCCTTCCTATTTTCAAGAAAATTGACATTTCACGTTGGGCTGTCTGAGGGCATACCATTACTTTCCTGAAGATACAACCTATACAGTTTTATTTAGAGAGCTGGTCTCAGTTACTGAAATGTAATCAAAATCACAGACATTTTGGGGAATATCCTAATTTTGGGTTTGGGGGCTGCTCTTAAGGACCCCGACCAATGAATGATAGATCAGCTCTCGAATATGAATAAAATCCATCAACTATTCACACATTAGCAAAGTGCACAGACAGGCAGAATTCCAAAATGCTTCATTACAAGTTCTATCACTTCATTATCACAGTACTTTCTCACAAATAGGTACATTAAGTAAAAATAAATGCTTCAATTACAGGCATTACTGCAGAAAAATGTCAATCATAGACACGAAAATTAAACAGGAAAAGTATCAATACTTCCTATAACTAAATTGCATGTTACGAGGAGCTGGTAAAGCTCTATGATGGGGTCCCCAGTTTACATCAGGAGGGGGCTGAACCTTCGAACCCCTCCATAACATAGCAATCAAGAGATACAAGCCACCTATACACTTACCCCATAAATCAATAACAGCTAGGAATATCGGTGTATTGGCCTGTATAAAATAAGAGAACTCCCTCATGAACTTGATAGAGTAATCTCCAACATACCGCACAAGATAGAACATGCCAGTCACGCATGTTACAATGAACACAAACATGAAAGTGATAGCCTCTTTGATGTTATGAACTGTGAAAACAGACGCCAAATTCGTTGTGATATCTTCTAAAAACTTTTTCCCTTTTTGCTTCACTTTGTCATAGTTGATGGTATCATCATTTGCTGGAGTAGGTTCAGGAGCACTGTCAGGTGTTTCAAAAACCTTTCTTGATTCACTGACAGATTCAGCATCGGCAGGTCTGGAAACAATATAATTAATCACAGTATAATTAATACATTCGACACTGAGAGACACAAACTTCTGTTATGGCTTATGGAAATGCCAGGTGAAAATTCAACATGAGAATTCAATAGTTCAACAGTAGTTTAGATGTGAGGTTCCCATGGTGGTGAATGATGTATTATGAGGAATCTAATGCATGCATCTTCAGGGTAGAAAGCTGGATCAATATGCTGACCATGGAGACTGCAGTTTCCTCCAAAATATTTATACCAATCTATCAGACTATATGGCAGCACATCACAGAAGGCAGTAATCCTAAAAACAGTGGCTGGACTGGTGAAGATATAATCTAATTTCTTGTTTCATACACGGGAAGTTTTATATTTCTCTAACTGGTTAACTGGCAGACTGGCTATAGTGCATGGAGCCGAGCACTCCTTGAGAAGCCATCAGGTGCTGAGCCATTTACAGAAACTGAAGACTCATTACCATGTTCACAATTGCCAGTCAATAAGCCCTATCCTGAGCTAGATGAATCAAATCCACACTGATGTCCTTAACATTGGTTTTAATACCTTTACACATCTATGCCTAGTCTTCTTAGCGATTCCTTCTCTTCAGATTTTCTTTCCCAGTCTTTTTAACCACACCAAAATTTGATAGTTGGGCACAGCAGCAGCTAAATGAGTCAGAAAACAAAATAAAATAATGAAGAAACCGTTCTATTCCCATTACTGTCATCAGAATACAACTGTCTCCTTGACAGATTGGCATAAATCTGGAGTACAAAATACTTCCAACAGGCACTCAACAATGGGTATCGGTAATGTGCTGCAGCATCCTGTTGCACATCGCTTGTCACTTCTCATTCCGTCTCACACGTGTGAGAATGACTAACAAGTGACAAATGGATGTCAGGCATCTGCAATGCGATGCTGACTGTTGGCCTCCATCTAGTGCTGAAGCTAAGAATGCATGGAGCTATACTTCCACATCCTCATATATCTTCACAGCATAGTGCTTAATTAAGCAGGTACTACTTTACTTTTACCTTAGGTCACTTCAATTTCATATAATGTGTGTTATGTTCATGTTTGGTCTTGTGAGCATAAATAAAGAAGAAGAAAATGAATTACTGGGTTTTTGGACCTTTTTCATCTTCCAGTATTCAAGAGACTAGAAAACACGACATTTCGGAAACTGGGTGTTTCCATCGTCAGGTGGGTAGGTGTCTTCTCTGCTCACCCGAAGATGGAAACAGATCCAGTTTCCGAAACATCGGGTTTTCTAGTCTCTAGAATATCGGATGAAAAAGTCCACAAAAAAAAAACCAGTAATTCTGAGTGTTACACACCATTGTCAAAACCCTTTACAAAAAAGGGGGAGGGGATCTAACCGATGCTTTGTGGCAGTGGATTACATATAGCTGTGTGCTATATAGAGTACACAGTTAACATATAGTAAAGCTTTCCTTACTTTGACATGCCTGAACTTTGCAGGGAATAAGTGCTACATAGCTTACCTTATACATTTCAGATGAAGGATCATTTCTCTGTCATCAACAAATTTGACTTTTTTGATCTGAAACCAGTACCGCCCAAATGCTAAGTTATGTAACTTGACCCATACAGCATATCCAGCTGGAGCCCCAACACAATCAGGGCCTGAAATAAAGTGTCATATAAACACATTTCCTGCTTTCGCATGCAGACCTGTATTATCTTACCAATATATAGAGTAGCTGTGTGTGAGTACTGTGGTACTTTTTGGGTGTGATATGAGTTCCCATTCATATCTGTCTTCCCTTCTAATCATATAACTAACTCCATGGAGCTGAGCCCATCTTGAGCAACCGCCAGTTGTGCAGCTACTCAACAACTTCCCAGCATTTTATGGAACCCAAAGGTTCATTACTGTGTTTACAAGCGCTCTCCACTGGTCCCTATCATTAGCCAGATCAATCCAATCCATCCCATCCCATCTTATCTCTCTGAGAGCCAGTTTAATATTGTCCACCCACCCACATCTTGGTCTTCCTGGTGTTTTCTTTCTTTCTGGATTTCCCACTAATATCCTATATGAATTACTTTTCTCCCCAATTCGTGCTACATGCCCTGCCCATCTCACCCTCCTTGACTTTATCGTTCTAATTGTCAATTATTATTGACCAGTGGAGGGCTCTTGTGAACATGGTAATGAACCTTCGGGTTCCATAAAGTGCTGGGAAATTCTTGAGTAACTGCAGATTTGGCTTCTCCTCAAGAAGGGCTCAGCTCCGTAAGTAAGGAAACCATACCTCAAGGTGAGAATGGGTACAACTCCTGATATAGCATATAGCTTAAAAGCTTTACCCTGGGTTATGCTACTCATGTATGACAGCTACTACTTAATTAAATACACCACAGTCCTTGAAAACCTGTTACTCAACTAGCCAAGACATTCCCTGCATCTCGTACTGTATTCACAAAAGCCCACCACTGGTCCCATAGCCAGATGAATCAAGTCCACACTCTCCCATCCTAATTCTCCCAGAACCATTTTAATATTTCCCCATCAATGCCTAGGTGTTCCAACTGGTCTCTTTCCTTCAAGCTTTCCTCCCAGAACTTTGTATACATATTTCTCTCATGCATGTTACACATCTGACCGATCTCATCCTCCTTGAGCTGATCACCTTAATGTCTGCAGAGCAGGTATGACTGTAAGCTCTCGGAATCCCATGTCTGGTCACAGACTCTACCTTTAGAACATGACAGCCATTCCACTGGTCACGAAATTCCCACTTTTACAGAAACTAAAGGTTCACTTCTGTATTCGCAAAAGCCCACCATCACACATCATCCTGAGTTTCTTCCGTCCAAGTCACATGTTCATGATATAACTGTCTTAACATCCATTTTCTGATCTTATCCTACTTTTATCTCCCAAAGTATCTGAAATATGGTTACCTTTTCCAACCCAAATTCTTACCTAAACAATTAACTCCAGGGGACATGGGTTTCCTTAAGCAGCAGAAAATTAATCACCTGCAAAAAAATTCCCCATTTTTCTAAAGTGAGAATGCACACTCAAGCAGAAGAGTCAGACTCATCTCCCTTGAAGTTGGGCCAACTTTACACAAGCAACATCTAGAAAATTCACTGTGGAAACAATTCACTACAAACCCTCCACCAACAACAAGACCTCCCAAGATTATCACCTCCCTTCAAGTTTTCCATTCAAACTTTTGTATACACTTCTTGTTCCCTTGCAAGCTAACTCATGGCACTGGGGTCCCATTTCTGAAATGCAGATATGGTATTACTGTTTCTCAAACAGGAACTATTATTACCTGTAATTCCCACCCACATCTCTGAGAACTCACAGAAATCCTTAAGCCTCTGCATGACAGTATCCAAATCTTTTTTCAATTCATATTCTGTTGCAGTAATGAATACCACATCTCTGAAACAAAACATTGTCTTTAATTCAATATCAGGTCTTCCTTCAGCAGAACTGAATTCTATTTACAGTTTCTTCTCTTCACAACTACACTAATTTACCTGTAGGATCCTATGGATTCCACAAAACGTCGTTCTTGATAATGGCCTAGGAAGAGTCTGTTTATTAACATCTGTTTGGAAAATATCTTGATTTCTTGTTCTTCTGTTAGTGCTTCAGTTATGCCATGGCTGGGAGCTTCATGCCATCTTTTTCGAGGTGTTTGGTTATAATTCATTATGTCCAAGTAATGGTTATATGACTAAATACCCCTGCTAAAGAAATTACTATATTCATACTTTCACCATAAAATATGCACCCAATATCCTGTTTACTATATCTCAGCCTCTGCTTATTTTAAGTTACAGTAACCCATGAATTCTTATAGCTTACTGTGGGTATGCAGAGGCTGCAAAGCTTATTTAGGTTCCTACCACCGCACAGCCTGATATGGACCTGCAAGAGAGTGTAGAACTGCAGTGTTTGCTGATGAGCAGAGGTGGAGTTATGTAAATTTACGCATTATTTTGGGGGAGCCACAATATCATTAAGTTAGAAAACCCTGCAGTAGCAAGTAGATATTGTAGGGAACCAAGATATCAGTTGGGACAGACAATGGCAAAGAACTGGGTTTCAATTCTCAGCACAGCAAGAGATTCTTTCCTTCTACACACATTCAGACCAGTTCTGGGACTCACCCAACCTCCTAGCCACTGGGTTCCCTTTGCTCTTGCTGGCAAATCAGCTGGCATATTTAGCTAACTGCTCATCTCTCCATTTGATACTAGTATAGGAATGGGGTCATGCTTAATTACAGGCCAACTTTACCTTACATTCTATGACAATAGAACGAGCGTTCCAAATTACGTATTTTATAAAATTCAGGAATATTGCAGGTAAGTACACATGACCTACTCTTAAAAACACCTTCTGTGTATTTGAAGTTTGTAAACATTGACTGTTATACAGAACCCTAACTACATAGTGTTTGCCCCGCGTCTGTCATCATATCATAAACTGGTAACAGTAAATATAATAAAAACTTGGGCAAAAATTATTTGGTAACCAGGCTGCCCTTGAGCATACAACGGACACGTCACACCTACATTTTGTGCTTGAACGTACACTTGGCCAGTTATAGCATTTAAGAACGTTTATATCTAAAGATACGTTTAGAAGTGCTACAATATTAGACTGATATATTCTAATAATTTCTCAATATATACCAGACCCGCTACTCCACGAAGCCTACACACGTCACAACGGTCACAACATTACCATCATTCGCTTGAATTTACGATCAGAGCCATCAGAGCGATCAGAGTGATCAGAGTGGCCAAGCCTAAACTGAAAATTCCCGCCCGCAATATATTTTTTTTTTTTTGTTTTGCATGATACATGCATACGATATATACTCGGGTGCACACGAACAAACAGGGGTGTATTCCAAAAAAAGTAAAAGAGTTAAGAGTAGTCCAGCAGGTCCAGCACGCAGTTCCAGGTCGAAATAAATCATAATAACAGGCCGTTAACATTTTAGTTCACAACGCTGAAAAGGTAAGGTAAAGTTAGGCCGCGCCATAGCTAAAGCGGTTAGTTGCTGGCTTCCCATCGCGGCGGCCCGGTTTCGATCCCGGCTCTAGTCAAGTGGGGTTTGTGGTGGACAAAGTGGCGCGGGGGCAGGTTTTCTCTGCCGATCTTCATTCCACCAATTGCTCCNGGGACTTAGTCCCACCCCATTAGCATTAAAAGAAATTAGTCCCCCCCCACTAGCAATAAAAAAAAAGGTAAAGTTGTTTGTACTTAATTAATTAATTAATCAAAAAGCACTAAGACATATAAAGAGCAGAGGTATAGTTCCACCATTCTTGACCTCGGCACTCGATGCAGGTGAGTGGTCAGCTTCATGCCCTACCTGCTTTACCCCTAGGGAAAGAGAGTCTTCGATACGCATAGATTAAGGGGCTGTGTGGTTCCAGAGCTGTTTTGGACGCTGTGGAGAGAGATGCAGATACAGAAAAATTTCTTGTCCCTGCCGAGAATCGAGCCCCCGCCGTCCAGCCCGTAGCATGTCGCTATATCGACTGAGCCAACACCTTTCTTTTAAATGCAGAATTGAACACACCAAAAGCATATACTTAAAAAGAGGTAGATGCTTCCAATTTGGAGTCAGAAATGAAGTGGGTCGCAGCACATTACGTTTCACATCAGTGACCTTAAAGACGGCAAAAAGAGCAAGAGTCAAACTACACCGACTAAGCCCTCGATCTAATAACACTGTGACCGAATGCACAATAAACTGTCCAACCGATTTAGCTTGTCGTGCAGAATTAAAAAAATAGTAACAATTTGAAATATTATGACAGTTAACAAAATTTCAATATTTCTGAAATTATGAAGAGTTTGGAAATTTTCTAAAGTATATAAAATTTTAAAAATTAATAATTACATGAATTCTGAAAACTTTCGAGTATATCAACAATTTTATAAGTTTCGAAAATTTCGTTTCCTTGATTTTCAAACGAGAAAGCCAAAGGTTTTCAAATTGTATATTTCAGAATGCAATAAAATTTAAAATCTTCAAAATAAAAGATGTTTGAAAATAAATTAAATTTTCAAGAATATGAAAAATTAAGATCTCAAAAATCATCCACTTTCTAATGGAAAGAGATCCATTTTCTGGAACCTGCGAAAAATTATGGCCACAAATGTCCAAAAACAGCTGTCACATTTACAGTCATTTGTGTTCATCCATGATATGTATACAGTGGCCGTCTTATAGTGCACTCAATTTCACCTGTGTTATTTATATAATATACTCAACATTCAAAATTGAGTATGCTGCTAAGTATGAGTGTGGTTCAAAGTTAACCTGAATTTCATGTTTTTACAGAAAATAGTATAAATTCTAAAATTGCCAAACTCTCAACTCCTTTTCAAAATATTCTCTTTACACTAATACATTTTTTCGATTATCCTGGCAAGTTACTGACTAAATGGTTTTATCCTGTCTGCATAACCACTTCAGAACACTCCATTTGAATTCATGGTCAGTTTGGAATTTCTGTCCTCCTAAGTGCACCACACAAAAATGAAAATCACAGGGGACTAAGTCAGGTCTGAAAGGAGGGTGCTTAATAATATCCCAGCCCACTGTTGCCAATGTTACTTTAATCACATTTGCTTATATAGACAAGCGCTGCCATGCAGGATGATGATTATCTTGCCAGCTGACTGCATTTTGACACCTTTATGGCCTTAAAAAAACACTTACAAATGACAGGGTCTCCTCTCCTTACTCTGCATTTAACCCACAAAGAATTTCTGCTGGTTTCACTCTTTCTTTCACTAGGAATTTGATACTGTTCTAGGAGTGACAAGCTCTGATGTGCCAAAGCAGGGTGCATGGTCACCTGCCACGGAGTGCAGCACTGTTGCCGTCAACTCTCCATAATAGTTTAATTTTTTGATGCCCACATCCTCAGGGGGGAAAAATTAATCCAGATTAACCCAGAACTATCCTGATATGTTAGTATATAAACTAAAAAGATGTCCATTGTAAAGACCAAGAAAGATGGAGGAACCAGTTACAGTAGCCTCATGAAAGATCATGAAACTGCATACATTTAGAAGAAGATGGTTGGATTTGTTTGGAATGTTGAATGGAACAGAATGGTGTCATATTAGAATAAAGAAAAACAATACCTTGTTCAGTAAGTGTATTTCCACAAGATACATGCATAGTTTATTGTTTATACATACACTAGGCTATTATAATGCTTCTAACAATTAGGGGGATGTATCTACAAGTATTTTAAAGTAAACAGAATTTAAATAACTGGAAGAAAGAAAATAAGTCTGTTCACTGGTATTTTCCCATGTGATGGGAGTGGAAACATGTTGGTTAATGTCAGCTTAAGTTCAATATAGTCGGTACAAGTTTGATTGCTATGCATATACGTACATAAACATACAATGACATCTGTAAACTCATAATGCCATTCACACAATATTCACTCAGTCACCACATCACACATCTTCCTATTATATACAATTTGTGATGAAGAACCTAAGCTAAGGTTATATAAAAACAAAAGGCATAAGTGCAGTTTTTATATCAAGGAGGTATCAACATACTAAACCGTTAAAACCAATGCCATCTCTCCTTCAGAGCTCAACACAATGTTTAAATTGCAGATCATAAAGTCAGCTCACTGCCACATGTTCAAAGATCCAAGCAAGTTATTTCCTCTTATTACACCCTTAGAAGCAATTTGAACATGAAGGTTCTTTTGGCTTGTTATGAAAGAATTTGATCATTACCGTTCTCTTGGTTTGCTTTGCAATGCACAAATCTGGCACAAAGTATACTCTGAATTGCAATAAAGAAATTAAATACATTAATATAAGATAATGACCGAGCAAGGTCTCCTCATGGTGACCAATATGGAAGGTTCTGAAATCACAATTCCTTTGAAGAATGGTGGAAAACAAAGAAAAGTAAATTTTGCTTTTTATAAGAATCTAAGCTTTATATGCCTTCCTACAGGTGGCAGGGATATCACTATCTCATTACATGTTCAGCAAAAAATTTATCACATTTCTCCATGGAATGGCAAGAGGTAAATGGAATGACTGCAGAAAAGTGACATCAAAAATGTACATAATAAGAGCCACAGGACATGACACAAAAAGATTAGTAACTCAATACTATTTCAACAAGACAGTTATAAGTTTCAAAAGACAAAGGCCATAGAATAGTTTATTCACACAAGTGGACAAGATCTGGCAAATTTTACAGAACAGAGGTATTTTCAGAAGTCAACAGATTGTAACCAGCTTGACACAGAGAGACTTGCACTAAATGGCGCACCAGTCACAGAAGACAGCTCTGCATACCTTCTGACCCCCAAAAGAGTAAACATTCTTTTCTGTAGATGGACTTCTGCAGAATGTGTTACCATAAAGAGAAAGACTACTGGGGTATCATTAATTTAACACTAAAATTTGCTAGTGTTTCTGTTATCTGAATGCATCCTTTCTCAGAGCTGAAGTTCACAGATTCGTCCAGTGCTGAGGATGTTAATATGGTACCTTTGTTCACAATGTCTATGGAGTGAATGTCATTACATGGTCGATGACAATAAAATACCGGCAATGAAAAAGTTCCATTAGCACGACCCATTAAATGTGTCTTTTCTTCAGCAGAACATTGGTATTTAGGACATCACCAAAGTAATGATGTACATATTTGCTTCACATTCCTACTGGATTTATAAGGATAACTATGGAAATGACACTTTCCTCATAAGAGTACCTCAGGAAATATGTATACATGAAGATTATTTATGCTGCATTTGAGGTCCTCACATACTGACATTACAATCCCAATTATATGCTTTTAGTTTATGGGAAATAAATACTGGTGATATCAAGACATTCATAAACTATTAACATTTTCAAAGGGGTCAGTCACAGGGCATTATTATTAAATGGTCAGCCTATGTAGTGGCCGAACTTGGTACATAACGCTATTTATACTAGTTCCTCAAGCATGTGTGGTATGGTTGTTTTATGCTGCCATTAACACAGTGATTAGTGGCTAGTTGTGTTAAGTGTCATTCAGAATATTGCAACCATAGCTCACAGTGAACTGGATTTTTCATTTGTCAACCTTGATGCCTTCCCCATATTCATGTCCATTTTACAGCCATTGTTAAAAGAGTATACAAAATTGTTGTGACCTTTTAAATTTGAGTCACACATGTGTTTTGTCCTAGTTCTGTCCACAAATGATGAACAGTAACTCTTCCTGACTGAGAGATTCTTACTTCTTACCTACATTGAGCCTTCTGATGCAGTATATTTGAAGAAAACGTCTCACGACAGTCAGCAACGATTGACACACTTCAGGTTACATACTGCAAACATAATAGCTCCTATCATTTCTATGTAACATTTTTATTCTGTAGTCCATAAAAAGAATGCCTTCTTGAGCACAGAACCTCAGCAACCTCTAAGTGGACAGCCACCATTTTTCCCTTGCTCTTTATCACTACTAAATACCAGCTGGCATGGCCATTCTCACAGAATATGCTTGAGTTAAAAAGGAAATAATGAAGCTGCTGCCAGTTTTTGTTGTAAGTGTACAATGTCCTGCTATGTATGGACTTTGATCAGTAAACTGTGAAGACAATATTCATCCCTTACACCCTTACACCCTCACACTCTAGTACAGGAACATTCATAAGCTTTAATTTCTGGGGGACACCAAAAACTGTCTCAGTAGATAGTGGACAAGAGGATACAAACACTCATCAGATTGACAAACAGTTGTCAACACGAAATTCCAGTTAATGACATGCTTATTAACAGGATGATCGATCTCCATTATACTTCTAAAATGTCCTAAGCACATAATACATTATTTTGTTTTGTCTTTGTGACAACCTTTCTTTCATATGCATCCACAAAAGCAGTATAAATCATCTGTATTTTGTGTCTGTGTATTACAAGAATGTGGCATAACAGGATGATCTAAAACATCTGCACACTTCAAACATGAGGAGCTCAAAGCTTTCAAATTTAAAAGTTTTAACCATGTACTTAGAAATTCCAAAACTGAAATGATCAAATCTGAACATTCTACTCATTATGCAGCATGTTCACAATTACTTTCAGGTTTCAAATGCAACTATATCAAATGTTGTAATTCTAATCTCATGATCTGGCATAATCCAGAATATAATGTAAAATAAAATCTGGCATATTGAATCAATATAAATAATGCCTCATGATTATAATTTTGAAATCAGTAATTAACAATAATCTGGCTGTATTAAGGGAACGAATATTACACTACAGTGTCATTTTAGCCATAGCCATCCCCGTACAGTTCTGCAGCATATTTACTAATTTAATTAACATTTATTTTGATGGTGTATTTTTCTTACTTAAGTGAAGTAAGAAGTGATAACACATCTTCTTACAACTGTCCTACTGCAATATATTCTTTTATTTTGAGTATAAAATCATCACCTCAGTCAAAATAGAACAGATTTTATTCTTTTGGAATTTCCTTAACTGTTAGGTTAACAATGACACCCTTCACTTTGTCATTAATGCCTTGAGACAATAAATCCATCTGAGAATGTTGGCTACCAATGCCCACAGTGTCGGTGAGTGAGAGCTTGCCAGAGTGAAGAATTCATATTGTGGTCTTCTGGGTTATAACATTCTGTAGTCTGTAATGGGGCAGCATGTTCCTCCAAAATTCTGGTACCCACCTACCATCCTACACTATAATATTAATTCTTCACCACTGTAAAACTTCAGACCTTAGGGTCAGGAATATTTTCATCTTGTCAGGCAATGTTCTTGAAACCGTAAAGATGAAGCTTTTGAGGAAAACAGGCTTTTGGATTCAATCCTCATCCAGGGCAATGTAAATTTCCAATGAAAATTAAAAATAAGACAAACATTGGTGTTACAGTGAAAAAGTTTATGGTGACTTTTGAAAATGTTTCTGTTAAGTGGATCTGTGTACAGAAGTACAAAAACCTAACTTCACATTCAGAGCAGAATGAGAACAGTACTGTACAATGTTGATACACACACATGAAACCCAAATTACAATATATACATTTAACAATTGCATGATCCACATTCATGAGCCATTTAGAATCACAATATACATACAAACCCTCTCTGTGACTATAAAATGCTTATGCAATTCAAAGAGTAATATGACTGGGGTAATTTTTTTCCATGCAAATCTCCAAATCCAAAGAAAACAGAAAGATTGGAAAAACATCAGTGCAGTTATACTAACTATTTATATGTTATATTTCAACAGTCATATGTTTTCTTTGGACAGAGAACACACAAATGAGGAATTCTCGAGAAATAGCATAATTCTTTCCAAAATCTTTGTTAATTAACTGAGCGAGTCTCCACTACTTGAGGTCTGTCTCCTCTGCGTCCAGCATCTCCTCGATCTGACTCTCCCAGTTGGAGTCCTGGTGAGTGTTTCCATCAGCAACCACTTCATAATCTTGCAACTCTGCTTCGAGCTCTTTCTCCCATTCTTCTTCTGGGGAGAGAGACAGATAGATACGGAGGAAGCATAACGATAACGAAAGGCTAACTACGCATCCATCTGAACCTTGACACGAGGAAGTGAGCAAGTGGGCTAAAGAAAAGCAACTCAATCTCCAGAAATAAGAACAACTAATTATCTACAGGAAAATTAAACTACACCTGCTAGACCAAGTGCAAGAAAGAAACAGAGCATTTCCAGTCTGACCACCATTATCTGTATGGAAAATACTGATTATATGCCAGTAATATGTTTGGCAGCAAAATCTATTTAACTGTTTATACTTAACATTAATGGTGAGAAAAAAGCTTGCATCTTTCTGGATTTTTGTATCCCCTCTCCATAGAGGTTTAATATATATTTGTAATATCTATAAAGTTAACATCAGATCAATATTTCAGAGTGCCTGAATACATGAAATAACATTACATTAAACTCATATTGTCACTGGTTTATATAATATAAAAAATGAACCATTTTTTCAAATAGTGACAGATGTATCTCTCACTTCAAATTTGTTCACTGTAACAAATTCACTCACTATACATGCTACTGTGACAAACCTCAACCCAAGATATATAATTGAGTTCATTAATCAGCTGCTGGGACAGTACAATCTCACTGCATGGAACTGTCTGTGAAATTATAAGCTATGAGAGCAATGGTTGTAACATCTGTGTGGGGCATAGTAAAAAGGCAACTAAATATTTACACACTGCAGCCACTACATGGAATTTTTCGTTTTAAATTGGCACTGTTAGTCACATTACCAATCAAATGCCTAACTGTAACTTGTACATGGTGGAATAATGACCTGAATTTCATAATTATGGAGGATACACAAAATAACTTCCTAACTTGTTTACCTGCTGAATATTCTCCGTGAAAAACTCGAAAGTTCTGTTGCCATTATAACTTGTCACTTCCAGACATATTAATTCAATCATCAATTATAACAGTCCTATTTTATTCATCATTCCTGAAAAAATACAATTCAGGTCACACAGTTCTAACTAGTTTCAATCAGTACTGCCAATTTCTGAATCTTACATACTTTAATAGACTTTAAATGCTTTCAAAAGTAAATAACATTTGCCGTACTTGTGAAAGAACTTTCTTATGGATACTGTCAAAAACAAACAAATAATAACATTCACACATCTCTGTGTAACAGTAAGTGAAATGCATATATACATGTATATATAAATGATAGTGTTTCCAATAATTATATTTATAGAAGAATCCAATAAGACCAAAGATAAAAATACTTGTTTTTCAAGCAACACTGAATTTATGAAAATGGTTATCTCAATAAGTTTAAAGAAAACTGTAATTGTGTTAATAACCTCAATTTTTGGTATAAAAACATGTATGGGAATATTTAAGTGATCTCTTGCCTTAGGACCGTTATTTTAGTGTCTTTATTTCATGGATTAAATTCTTCATTATTATGGCACTGGGGAGGGCATTTCCTTTTCAAATTAAACTTGTATGCAGGCTCAACGGTGCATCCACCTGTTGGATACTGATTAATCCATAGATTCCATCCAGTGAGAACTCATTTTAACTTTTGAAACAGCAAAATTCCCCTCAGTTAAATGTGAATATCACTATATAACATATCGCCTAAGTGAATGAAATAACATATTTACATGAAAATGCTAAATATCAGACTTCTCAACAACTCCCCAATTATTCAACCTCAGAAACATTTTTCTTTTAAAATATTATCGTCTAAAAATAATATAAATGCCGCTATTCAAGCACTTCAAAATTAGTATTTTCTTAGTGAAAAAAATAACAAACTTCTCAACATGCTTCCCTAATGTCATCAAGTTTTTATTTTATAAGTAATCATGCTTCAAAATATAGTTAAAAAAAGGAGGTGTTCTATTTAAGAAGCAATGAAACCAAAGTAATGTTAAGATGGCATAACAATGGCAGGAGGAATGTAGGAAATCAGAGGAGTGAATGTTAGCTCTGTGCTCCATGCTTTTTTCCATCTTCTTAGGCTGTTGGAAAAAAAGAGAACAGAAAGGAAGCCTTACCCTCCACACAATATATGTATAATACAGAATTAGTATATGTTACAATAGTACTGGCAGAAAAGCAATTTCACATGGAAGAAAGAGAGTTTATTGTTGGGGACTGGTGGTACATCAAGCCAGCTCCAATTCAATATATAATCGCAAATGTAGCATACATAGTTTTAAGGTAAATTAAATTATGCAACAAAAGATAATCACTTAGATGAATACACACTTTAATATTGAGACTAAATTATTGCATCAGCAACATGAGTTGAAGTTATTTCTATTTGTCCTCACAATAAGCTGCATTATTTCCTTGCACTCTCAGGCATGCTCACATTTCTACAAGCCCATCTATTAACATGGAAGGATTTTGGAACCCCTAGCAAAAATTTTACCTGCGATGAGAATACTGTGTAGACATCCAGAATTTCACACTAATCGAAACAAATTCTGTGGTTGAACTGTTGTTGACAGTACAGTTTTACAAATATATTTCCTACTTAGAAGTCACACTAGCTCATACCAAAAGCTATCCATTCCAACCAAGAATTCACTATTGTAAATCAACTACTTATTCTTCTGTGCAATTTCAGTCTTTGAAGTTTAGATATGCCCTATGTAAGCTGTTCAGTTTTGAAATAAGAAGGGTACTTTCTGTCTTCTGGGACAACAGTCTCAGCATACATTGAGTGACTATCTTCAAGGTAAATAATGGAGGAGGAAGAAGCGGACCAACAAACAGATCTTTCAGTGGAAGTAAGGGCTGGTGTGCAGCATGGCACTACCCAATGGGAAAGAGCCATGATGCTAAGAAATGCAGTCAGAATGTGCCTTCATAGCTTCAGTTGTGGGGATGGTAATTCCCATCAGATGGCACCCCAGTCCATGTCCCTGTGCTGACACTCACTGTAAGGTGTACATGAGTGCATTTCCTCCTTGTGCCATATTTACCTTGAAGACGACAACTTCAGTGTATTCTAAAACACTTAAACAGCTTCAAGATATGATGAAACTTAACTCAAAATGCCAAAGTTTCACATTAGACACAGGCTGAAAAAAACTATTGACAAGGACACTGATTCTCCTGTTCCAAAATAAAATTACATCTACAGCTATCAAAACACTCTTCAGGATGTCAATCATGAAATAAGCTTACAACAGATTACGGCAGTTTACTCCTAGTGCCTCAAAGAATTTGTAACTAGTCATACCTGGGAACAAGCAAACCAGATTATCTTTGTATTTTCATCTTGTTTGTGACACCATGAAATTTGGTATGTGGCTATCAATATTTTGGAGAAACCTGCGGCCTCCACCTCCACTTCTTCTACACTTATGATACTGGAAGCACGTTCCTCTGAAAAGTTGATACTTATCTGCCAAACTGCATTGAGCCACAACCAAGAGGAATGCAGTTTTACTAACCATCATGACCTCAAATCTCACAGAAAAAAAAAGCTGTTTATCTGTGACATTAGGGAATTCCTAAAAATAGCACTAAACAACATCCTTTACAAGCTTAAGTCTTCTGCGATGTGATGCTGTGTAGTTTGGTAGATATGTAGCAATGTTTCAGGGAAACCTATTGACTTCATCTTCAGGGTATAAAAATGATGATGGGCAGGGCTGGTTCCTCTGAAACTTTGTATCTATCTGCTAAACCTGAAGATGTCACATTCCAGAAGACTTTTAAAATCACCACCATGAGAATTTTCAAATTCAACCTCTTTTATACTTTTACTGTGTTAAAATGTAAACAAGTGGCAACTCTCTTTCTACCATAGTGAATTAGAACAGTGAAGAAATATCATTACATCTTTCAGCAGCACACTATCATTACTCCATTCCAGAAGACTGCAAACTTAATATTCCCTGCTGTCAGAATATGAAGGAAGATTATTGTTTTCTGGGGCTACTCTTCAGGGGCCTCCAAAACGTTTGCAGTTTACCAGACTACATAGCCTCACATAATAGATGACAGCAATCTTCAGGATATACCTGGTTTGAATTCCTTTGCACAGTAGCACATATGTGGCTGAGGTTTTGCATGGTTTTCCTCAGCTTCTCCAGGCAGATGTTGTGACAGTACATTCAAATAGGCCACCCTTCCAAATCCCCATCACTATTCATAATGATCTTTCCATCTCATTTTACACTATACACACCAAACTCATTGAAGCAAGCAGTAATGTCCCTGACTTGTATTCAGGACGCGTATGGTTCAAATCTCGGCTGGGACACCAATTATGCTGACTGAGGATTATTTCTTTCCTCAAAACCTTCAGACAAATGCAAGGATAATACTTTAAATTTAGGCCATGACCACTTCCTTCACATCTTTTCCAATTCACTAATCATAGTCTTCCAACTACTTGATGTTATATAGTCTGAGTTTCTGACAGTGTCATTATGTAAACTGAAAACAAACTTCAGCATAACTTCAGCAATTGAAAGATATCTTTCAATGACCTAAGAATCAGTGAGGCAGTGTTATGGAATATGAAATTACACATTAAAGGACAACTGCTGAATGTGGTCTGTGAAGGACAGACGAGGATGTGGACATGGCATAATTAAGGTATGATTCTGGCATCTGCCTACTAGGAATGAGGACTTCTATGGTCTGGGCAGCCACTCTTGAGACTGAGATCTGAACCCAAGACCTCACAAAACATATAACAGTAATGCTAACCACTGCATCACAATGTTTTGTAAACCTTTAATGAAGGATCTGACTTTGTTACTTTGTTACAAGAAAACTTGTCTTAAAATATAAATGCATCAGATATGTCACATTTATTGTGCCCACCCCTTCTTCCAGAAGATCAAAAGTGCAGATTAAGAGCCAAACATGCAGAGAAAAGTCACAGAGTTCATAAATATGTATACACAACCGTTCTTATCATATAAAACATAGAAAATACAGTACTTTTAAAAGCTGCTCAGAAATTCAAGACTGAAAAGAAAAGTTATTTGTTTGTTAACAATATCAGTTATACATAAAATGAAAATGAGGAGAGATGCACAAGAGTTCCAGAGAATTAAAAACAAGTCAGAAACATATGCATAGCATAACGATTCTGGTAAGTTTGCTCTGTTTTGTTTAGCTACCTCAAAATCCATAACACTGAATATAGTGGTTAATCATGGATGCCAAGGCAGGCTTAGCAAGCTATGACACAATGCAACTGATGCTCAAAGGCTGGTTTTCTGTTGCATTTAATATATATAAACAGATGGCACCATCAAAATATTTACTTTCTTTTGGTTATTATGGGTACAGAGATTTCTCTTGTGATATGAAAACATCTGTTACTCCTGCAGCAGGAATCCATGCAAAGCATAATGTTAAAACAAGCAACATGCATACCAACCATGTGTGTCACAAATCCCTACCTACTTCTTTCAATATATACAAAAAAACTGCAGAACTGCCATATGGTCACTTCACTTAGCAATATTCACAACTCCATTAACCTTTAAACGCTGGACTTCTGAAATAGTGGTAAGCTTGAGCTGGCCAGAGTTTATTTAAATGCCCGCTGCTGGTGCGCGTTTAAATGCCCGTTGCTACTCTGCGTTTGAATGCACGTTTCTGTTAGTGTGCCTAAACAATTTAAGCTTTGTGTTCACAAATGCTGTGACTAACAGAATTTTTATGATAAATGGATGGAATTAGCTTTGTTTGTATCAGCAAAGAACATACTGTCGCATATTATAACGGAAGATTTGAAATTTTTTATACAAGTTATACTCTATTTTCAATATTTTGTCTTTTAATTTTGATGAGTACTGCATAAATGGTTTCTCAGTTCTTCACAGAGTTGTTCTGCATTAAAAATCCATTTCTGTTTGTAACAATTGACAAATTTTAGCAGTCCCTGATGTCATAAAACAGATGGAAGCCATAAAATCATTTGGCTAGCACTACTTACACTCTTTGGATTTTCGAGACTTTTGACTGAAGGTCAGAAGAATGAAAGAATGGCTATTCAAGAGAAAGCTAGAGGGGTCCCTTCTTCAGTGCTAAGACCTTCCGTTATAGCTACAAAAGCTTATTGCCCTTTCTATGGGCCTGAACAGACAGCTGCATCGCGGCTGAGATTCAGAGTGTGGTCTGTTTTCTGTGCGTGCTTAGTGAAATCGAATACTGTAGTTTTATTTCAGCCTATATATACATCAAGCAGATAACAACAAAAAAGGTATGTACATCGAATTTTACTATATATTTTTAACTAATTATTCTGCAGAATCTGCAATAAAAGTACTGGCTCGTGGATGAGTTTGGGCATAACTCATACGTATACTCTTTTTGTTGTTGTTCAGTTGGGTATCATTTTAATTTTTTCTATAGGGCTTTACTCAAGTCTGTCTGGTAATTACTACATTTAAAATAAATATTTAGGACTGTGCATGCGCTTCTACTAGCGGCGGGTGCGCGCGCTTCCCCTAGCGGAGTTTAAATACCTGACTGGCCAAAACGGGGTACTTTGGCCACGACGACCTTACTCACCACTGGCACAAACGGGGCACTTCGGCACTTAAAGGTTAACTCTCCCTTAACCACATTAACCTCAAATCCCACAAACCATGAATTTTTCTTGCTGTCCCATCATAGAACTATGAACAACAGCATTACCATTATTAGCTTGTACATTTCTGTGAAACTGTATGAATATATCAGTGGACTTCTCTACATATTAATACTTTTTAACTCTTATTGGCACCAATATGGCAGCCATGCTAATTTGTGAACTGGGATGAGTGCTGGTGCTATTATAAGTGAGTTACAGTAAAGTTTTCCCTGTGTTTAATTAATTAAGCATGACATCACTCCAAATTGTACATAATGAGATTTGAATAATGTGTAACTTTTATTGAGGTATTATTTTTTGGAGAGTGAAAAATAATAACTGAGTGAAATATATTAATTTGGTAATAATACAGTTTGTATTATTATAAACACATCTACTATTAGTACAAATGGGGGAAAATCTACAAAATGTAATCTTTCAGAACCATAAAATCTTCTATGCCAACATCATATGTGAAGTTTCTCATTATACATTTTTTCTCCCAAACTTTTGTTGCTAGGTCCCCTCTGAAAATTAAATTAAAATCTGCCAGAACTCTAGTTAGAACACATTATTTTCTGTCTTCAAAACAAAATTTGCAAAAGGCATAAATTTGAATGCTGCATGAGCAGGTACTTATATGCTGTTTTCTGAGAGCTTATCACCATTTGTGACTAGAAGAGATAATGGGACTCCATAAAACATGCAACATGCTAAGTACTTGTTAAACAACACTTGATAGCAAATGACTCAAGGGAGCATAAACAACCTCCTACAGCTAATTTAGCAATGTTTACTCTTAAATGAAATACAGGATAACCCTTCTTATATTGTACCTTAATAAGAAACATTTTGCTTTGCAAAACATGGTTAAGAGCACTGATGCATGCATTCTGAATAAAGGAGAGTACTTCTAGCATGTTATGAACACATTTATGTTTTATGTCTGAGGAGGTATAAAATACAGTGTTTCCTATTTGAGTAGGGCTTTAAATGGATCTCCCTGTATAAACACTGCCATTTTAATGGCTGTGTTGATTTACCAAGGAGACAAAAGATATGATACTCACCAGATGTAATTCTGTGATAAAGTGTTTTCTATTTGGATAGGCTTTAAATGAACAAACACTGCAGTTTTCATGGCTGTGCTAATTTACTAAGGAAACAGGGTACTCACCAGATGTAATGTTGTGAGTGGCTGCCTCTAGCTATAACTCAGGCTTTTCACAACTTTGTGAATGATTATAACTAATGCAGCACATAAATGGCGTTCAAAATAGCAAGTCTATGACTGTAATTGTCTCTTTTATTTGTAAAGCCAGTTACAGGCATAAATGAGGTTTAATGACATTTTCCACGCTTTACACAATTGAGGTAGCATGTATGTATATGAGTCTATTAGACTAGGCACTGCATTTTCTAATACAAATATCATTATAACCGAGTTATAATATAGTTGACAGCTCCAAAGGATTCCAAAATTTAAATTCTATATTCCTGGATGGTAGAGGCTAACATACTGTGTTTTCAAGTATGAAAAGCTTTATTGTATGAAGAATTTTTTCTTTTTTTTGCAGTCAAATTATTAATTACAAGAAATGAGAAACAACATGTGCCAAATGGGATTTATTGTTACTAGAGCTGTAAGATAAGTGTGAATGATGAACTGGAAGGGATATGAAAGGAAGTGGTCATGGTTCTCTTTAAAACAAAGGACAGAGTGAAAAAGAATGATGATCAAAGTGATGGAAAAACTGACAGAGACACATTCAAGCTCCCTAAGAACTGTAATCACCACAGTTATGTTGTGTGGTTACCAGAGCAAGCGAACTGTCACTAGGCACTCATAACTGGTGAAACAAGATTCTTCCTAACCTCAGTTGTACGAGCACATTGCATGATTGTACCAAAGCATATCACATCTTTCAACCGCACTGTGCTAAAAGATGAACACATATCATCAGCGACAGGACAGTAATTAGGGGACATGTTCAGAAGTTCAACTGCCCTAAATGTCTGGGCTAAGACAGAGACGAAGGTTTTCATTTTCAATAAAATTTAGTTATAAAATTATGATTCTGTGATACAGAGACCAACACCCACGGAATATGTCAAATAAGAAATGGCTTTTTTGGTACCTAATTTTCAGAACTCCAGCAAAATTACACTGTAACAGGACAGGAATTGTAAGCTCTGGTACCTTGCTGTGTCTTGAGTGAATTCTAACTTTTCATTCTATGTTATAAATAGCATGGAAATAATAATTTTCAAACAAGAACATGGATAAATTCATTTTAAAAATGCATTTCCACATCGCACACAGCAAACACATCAGGACTGATATCATGTGAACTATAAATAGATACAAGACTTCTGTAATCTTCACATATATTCAGATCACTGATAATACTTGAATATAAGTTTTGAAATGTATGCATACCATAAAAATTCTGTGACCTTAACGCTACCTTCTGCATAATTTCCGGCTAATGCTCACAGCCATTCTATGTTTGATGTATATAAGCTATGGAGCCCAGGCAGCATCACTCACTATGGCAAGAAACTATGTAAACTACCCCATTAGCCTGCATGTATGGGGAATGGGATCGTCTGGTTACGTGAATTTGCCAGTTGCATAAGAAAAACTCAGATAAACACGATTTTCATCCCTTTCTGGTCTTCCATATATTTCCATTTTCTGTTTTGAAGACAAAACAACTTGTTTTCACTTTGGTCCTTATGTTGGAGTGCTCTCAGGTGATGCAACAGATTGAATGGTGAAAGATTTTGGGTATAATATAATGCAATCAAAAACGAAACTGGCCTCTAGTGTAAACAAAGATCACTATGACTGCAAAGGTACCTGCATGAGGAAGGTTGACAGGCAGTGATGCTAGTGATGGCTGGAAGAACTACTGGGTGGTGAGTGAATTTAGGTGCAATACAGCTCTATTTTTGAAGTAACGCCAGAATAATTGTAAAATTCATTTAAAATTTTTGCTGAATGCATAAGAATTTTGGATGCTTGGATACCAGATAACAAGTTGTTTACTGTACTGCAACAGAACCTAGGATGAAAACTGTCCAAAGCACAGGCTTCAAAATAAAGCCAAATTCCCAAAAAACACCAGCACAAAGAGACTTTAATTGCCCTAGAATAATTGAACATATGAGCTTATGGTCAGAATGAATGATGCTTGACTTAAAATAAAACTTACCGTTTCTCTTGGCTGGGTCCATGCCCAACTTTTTCATTCCCTCCCGCACCTCCTCCAGGTCACTGGAGCTCGCCCGGAAAGTGTCTGACACAAACTCATGGGTAGGGCTGTCGGTGGAGGTGCTTTCCGGAACTAACACATCATCGAGGTGAGGTTTCACTAGATGGGACACAACAACTGTACTCAGCCAAAACCAAAAGAATCTTCACACAAGCGCTCGCATGCAGTTTGAATAATATGAACATGCAGCACACTGAGATACAAACTTCATTAATGGTCGTTCAAAGGAGCAGTGCATGATTTCATATATTAAACTTCAAGGTGACCATGTGAAGGGTTCCACCTTGTCCACTGGAGACATGTATTCGGGAAGTATACAGTTTGAATTTTAGCCATGGCACTGGACTGGCTAGTTTTCTCAAGGTTCTCTTCAGGCCTTCCAAGTGAATGCTGGGACACTGGCCATAAACCACTTCCCAATGATTATTTATACCTTATTACATGCATTCATTCTCCCATCTCTTTCAACATTAAATACCTTCTGCAATTTATTACATAATCTATGAACAGGGCTGGTAGAATTCTAAATGTCATGCCAGGAGACAAGACATTTTTCATGGGAGAGATACTACATAGAACAGGAGTTGCAATACCTCTGGAATGCACAGTAAGTAATCCATCTGTTGGGTCTTCCAATATTTAGGATGAAAACCAGCTTACAACAGACCGACACTATGAATGTCTGCTCCTTGTAACGGCAATCATTCTGACCAGACAACGAACAGTCACTACAACATAAACTTGAACACGAGCTCTCCTACCTGCTGGCTCCACATCTGTGCTGTTGGCATGAGAGGTGGGATCGGACTCCCGGCCACCTTCCTGAGCCATTGAAGACAGTTCATTGGCTTGGCGTATCAGACTCACACGATAGAAGTAGTTCCGCCAGAAAGTTTCCTCGTTGATCCTGGCAATCAAGTCATTTGTAAAGCAGCTCAATATCTGATACAGTGCATGATTACATTTGTGTGGAACACTAGATGTGCATAAGAAATCAACATCAACCCTGCAAGGAATATGAATTTCCTAATGGCAAATAATCAATTTTTGGTCAGAGAACAGTATTCAAAATTTGAAACTAGCAAACAACCATCTCCTGTTTCTTCCAGAAATTTGGATCTTCTTTCTGAGAACATAAGAATGATATATATATATATATATATAAAAAACTGAGAGGTGCACTTTTCAGAGACTCTTATCTGTTGAAAGGTCACCACTGACTTCCTCTCCCAGCAGATGTCCTGGATAGCACAGAGTACAATACATTGCTATGACTAGGAGATGGTCGCGCCATAGCTCAAGTGGTCAGTCGCTGGCTTCCCACCGCGGAGGCCCAGGTTCGAGCCTTGGTCTGGTCAAGTGGGATTTGTGGTGGACAAAGTGGCGCTGGGGCAGGTTTTCTGCAAGTAACTCGGTTTCCCCTGCCAATCTTCATTCCACCAAATTCTCCATCATCATAATCACCCAGGGCAGGGACAATAGGCCAATCAGTGGCCGCCGTGTCGAGTGGACCCAGTTGAACTCCACCTCCGACTAAGGGAAGCGAATTATCATCACAAATGGCATAAGAAAAAAAGGTAAANGACTAGGCGATTTTTGTTTGAAACTGAAATAATATTTATCTTCCTTATTTCAATGGAATGGTGATAAATATGCTAGCCCATTCTATACGACAATTTTACCAAAACGAGAACAAATATTCTCTCTCATCCTATGTACCCATTTCATCATTAAGAGGAATAATGATTTGGTTCGGGTACTAACTCAGACATCAGTTTTATCCCAGATAAGAAAGAAGTCTCACTTACACTTTAGGTACCAGTTCAAATCTCATCTTCTCAAGGTTCGGATCTTCAGCTAGTGTCGCCATGGCAACAGGGTATGAGATTTCATAATCAAACTGGAAATCAACTCCAGCTGGGGGGCTTCGAACAAAGTTTCGCCTGTCCTATAATATACAAGCAAACCACAGATGTGAATAATCCAATTCTTGCTGCATTCTTAGCAATGAAATATGTGTGACAGTAATAAGATGTGGACCCCATCAGCACTGAGGAGTGCTCAAATCCTTAATTTTGCATTTGTCAGGGAGACAAGGAATGATAAAAAAATTTTGGTTGGATAACCTCATGCGAATATTTCACTTTGTACGCACATGATGCATGGATAATAATAAAGTGAATCAGAGAAAAAGTTGTGAAGATGTGGAATGGACTGACTCAGAATACAGGGTCCATCTGTTGGCTCTGATGATGATCTTTTGTTTCCATTACAGCACATTTCTAATGTATATCTTCCATATGTCAAAGAAACACCTTGCCCCACAGTCACTTAACAGTGAAGCTTGAAGTTAATTAAAACAAAAGTTAAAATTAAGTTTCTACCTCAAGGAAAATACTGCACCTCCATTACAAAGACCACTGATTAATGCAGTAAAGGGAAACAAATGTGTACTACAAATGGGGAAAAAGGTAGTTTCCCTTGTGCTCAATTAATTAAGCACCGTGCCATGAACATGTGTGAGGAATGGTGATCATCAGCTCCACCGTTCTTCACCTCAGCACTAGAAGCAGATGAGTTGTCAACTTAAAGCCCCTGCCGCTTTAGCCCCGGGGGAAAGTGCCCCAGATACCAATTTGACAGGAGGCTGGGTGTGTCCCAGAGCTGATCTGGACGATGCGGAGAACAGAAAAATCTTGCCCTGTCGAAATCGAACCCCGCCCGTCCAGCCCCTAACTCATTGCTATATAAACAAAGCAATACAAATGGTAAAATGTTTTGCTGTCATGAGGTTATGCACTTACTGTTGAGAGGGTAAGAAACTCCTCCTTGAGGCTCTCCTCATTGGGGCACCCCACCCACGGAGGCACTGCTGCATCGGATGTCTTGCCTTGCTTCTCTCTGATGAACGCTTCCTGTTCCTTGTTAAACTCACCCAGCAGACTCTGTGAACAAAGCAGCATTGTCACACGTGACTTATCTGAAGCAGAGTCCTCATCTTACGGCAGGTTTGCAAGGGGAAGTCCACAAGTAACAAGGATTCCTATTATCTTTAGCCTACTTTATTCATTTTAAAAAATAAAAGTAGGCTTATGCGATCTCCATCCTGTCTATGTATCCACCTTATCAACTTCCGAATGCCTGAACCAATCTTTATGAAATTTGGTATGTATGTCATAGCACCTGAGCCCATCTCAACGGCGTACTTAATAAATCCCTCCCATCAGTCTGTGTGTCTGTATGTGTAACGGCCCGGTGAAAACGTTATCACGGCAATGAATACATACACAACAACAGGAATGTTAGACACGTCGTTTCCTACGAGGTCGGCGTCATATCAAGGAAAGTATGCGATTAGTTCTTCCCAGAGCTTCTTGTTATATCATGAAGTTTTGTAACTGTCCAGTTTATGGGATGGTCAATTGATGTTTGTGTATGGTTAGGGTTTTGTGAAAATCCTCACTTTCGCCTCACAATTTGAAATTTTCCCCCTGAGACAAGCAGCAAGTGGCTTGGGTCAAGCTTGAAGCCAGCTGCCCATCCGTAAATCAGTCAATTTAATGCGTAAAACAAGGCCGAGTTCTTTAGAAATTCTAAACTTGACAGGGGAAGTCATAATTTTAGCAGCGTCATTTCCTGCTACCCCAAAATCTCAGTTTAACAGCCACGCAGCTGGTGGCAAAGTTCACCCCTAAACTGTACACTAGTGGATATTCGCTTTTCTAATTGGAGGAGAAAGATAAGCAACCTCCCAGTCTGCCCGGTCCAGCCAATCATCATCTGAAGTGGGAGGTCCTTTGTCCGAATTTTGGGTAACCAGGGCAAATATTTACCATTCAGAGGGTGCTTGGCAAGGAGGACTCTGAAAGTTACATTCATCGGGGGTACACGTTTTCTGATCCCCGTAAACACCCCCTGTGGTGACTATTAAGTGTGCATCTCAGTAAACAGTAAGGAAGCCTACATCCACAAACCTGTGGAATGTGTCACTACGGTGCTGTTTCCATTTAAATAGTGCAGATTGAATAAAGACTTCAAACAGTTAATTGGTGTTGAGGTGACTTCCCTACGCCTAAAGCCCCACTAATCACCCAAGTTCGAGTTCTCTACTAGAGCTAGCAGAACCAAAGAACGGTTGCAGTTTCACTAACACTTCTCGGTATGTTCCAATTTCGGTTCAAGATGGATAAAAACAGACACATTAAATGAAGCTCTGCAAGCGATTATGGGTGCACCCTGGGCGTAACTGGAGTGAAGTTGCAGTGGAAATGCGTCCGCTGTTATGTGCTGAATACAGGCATCTGATCTGTTACGCTACGCATATTTTGCTAACTTCGTTAAATGCCCTAAACACAGGTCAACTTATCCCTTTGCTTAACCAATTAAGCACTACGCCATGAAGGCGTATGGGGGATGGATGTCTAGACCCACATTTTCTTGACCTCGGCACTAGCTGGAGCTGAGTAGTCAGAGCCCCCGGTACCCATTTGATAGGTTTGGTGGGCCCCAGAGCCGGTCTCGACGACGTGGAGAAGAGAAAATTCTTCACCCTACCGGGCCTAGAACTCCGACTCCTCGGTCGTCCAGCCCGTAGCCAGTCGCTATACCAACCGCGCTATCCCGACTCCACAGACACAAAGCGCATAAAACTGTCATATACTACGGAGGCCGTGTAGGTATGTCCGTCCGTGCGGTTCGTCTGCACAAGTTCTGTACCGATAGGAATTACGCGAACTTGTCAGGAAGAATTCCATTTTTGGACGTATCGATCCGATATGACATCTGTTCCACGTGTAGATTACTTCATAATCTATCTTGCTTCTCAGAACCCGTAAGTACCTGTACAGCACAAAACAGAAACGTCAGTGCAGTGACATTAAGTCCTTGTTCTTTGGCTGCACATGGTTCAGCTCCTTGGTATACAGGAGCTGAAACTTCGAAGAACACACACTCAAACTAAGACATTTAAAGTTTAATCCTGAAATTAAGAAAAGGGACAGGGAATAAGGATTCGAAAGGCATCCAAAAACTCCACCGGAACGGCTGCATATCACTCCAACAGCCGGGGAGATTGCACATACTGGCAAGAGTACGGAGCAAAAGGCAAAGTTGTCCCTGCGCATAACCAATTAAGCACTACGCCATGGAGACGTATGGGGGAGTGGCTGTATAGATCCATATATTCTTGAGCTCTGCGCTAGTTGGAGGTAAAGTGGTCAGCTTCATGTCCCGGCAGCTTTACCCCCGAGGACAACGTGGAGAGGGAAAATATCTTGCCCTTACCGGCATCTGAACTTCGGCCCTTCGACCGTCCAGCCCGTAGCCAATCGCTATACCGACTGAGCTATCCCGGCTCCCTAGAATATGTAGTACATTTCGTATATTTGGGTGTTCTCTATTCGCTCCGAGGCAGAAACAGGAACCTGACGAGGAAGTTACTTTAATATACAGAGTGTTTAAAATACACGGCAAAACTTCAGGAAAAAGTTCCTTGTATGTAGATAGTAAAAATAGTTTGTATCAACATGGGCCATGAAATGCATAGTTTCCGAGTTTTTAAGGTCCATCTATGACCCTCAGCTTTTTACATTACGTTACAGTAAATGTCTCAGTTGTCCACCTCCTGCCTGAATACAGGACTCAGCTCGAAGTCTCATTGCCAAAATTCCTGGCATACTGCATATTGTGGAGATGGAGGGATAATATGAAAATGGACCTCAGAGAAATCATGCGTGAAAGTGTGAATTAAGTTCAAATATTGTTCACGACAGGATCAAATATCCATCTACTACGAGCCACATGGCAAATTTCCCTGGGGAGAAATAATTTTGCAGACCAGCTGAATAACTATCGACTGTTCACGATGTAAATTCTTTGCCACGGACTGTACACTGGCCTTGTCCCCCACTCCGCGCCTGCAATTCACTTACCTTGCATGGCTAATGGGCGCTCTATGCGGCAGGCGAAACGCAGCAAGCCAAGCGGGTTGAGGACATGTGAGGTTTTGCCTGTTGTAATGAACCGTGTTCCTCGATAATACAAAGATGAGTGTCACGTCACTTTGTGCTGATCTGCCAAAATTCCGGTACAATATGAAGGCAGAACACGTTCGGAAATACGGAAAGGTGTGACTTCGATTATGACTTTGCACGGAAATCGTGTTCTGAGTAAGAACAGAGTTAAGATAGGAAGAAATCAATATCAGAAAACAATTAAGAGTCTAGTTATAATGCATTCGCAGTATTACGAAAGTGAATACGGCAGAAGATGGAAATGGTTAGTCCTGTGCACTACCTGAGAAGCTAACAGTCACTCACCTACTGAGGCAACTGTCTTCCTTTTATGGACTCTAAAGCACATTAACCGTGTTCACAAAGCCCGCTACTGGTCCCTGAGCTCACAACCTCCCTGACCATTTCTCTGAGATCCACTTTAATATTATTTTCTCATCTACTAGTGGGTCTTCCATGTAGTACCATTCCTTCAGGATTTCCGATTATGACTTTCATGCACCTCTCGTCTCCTTCATGCGATCTACGTGTCCCGCCCATCCTCTTTGATTCTAAGGTACAGCAGAAATTATGAAACTCTTCATTAAGTAATTGTCTCCATGTTCCTATCACTTACTGTCACTGCCTAATCTGTTCTTCTACACAACTGTTTCGTTCTTAAAAGGTAAAAAGACAAACTTGTCCCTGTGCTTAACTAATTAAGCACTAAGCCATGACGACGTACGGGGGAGTGGATGTATAGATCCACGTTTTCTTGACCTCGGAACTAGTTGAAGGTGAGTGATCAGCTTCACGCCCAGGCCGCTTTATACCCGGAGAAAGAGCCCCCTGTATCCATTGGAGAACAGGCTGGGTAGATCCCAGATCCGGTCTGGGCGACGTGGAGAAGATAAAATTCTTGACCCTACCGTGACTCGAACCCCGACCCCTCGGTACTCCAGCCTGTAGCCAGTCGCTATACCAACTGAGCTATCCAGACTCCTTCGTTCCTGACTAAGTTTATTACATTTCAGACATCTGAGAAATGGGAGCAATTTAAATTACTAACTTTGAGGCGGTATTCTGGGCAGAAATGGATCAGAATCCTGTGCCCTGAAGAACAGCTGTGTAGACGTCAGCTTTGTGTGAGGGACAGGCCCAAACAGTACTGACCTACAGCAAGTGCCACCTAAACCGCGGCAACGGCAACTCTCAATCAAGCCTGCAGGATGTGGGCCCGGCTTCCGAGCCATGCGCCACGCGGTTGCCGTGAAAAGCGGAGGGCCTTGCACACAAATCTCATATTTGTCTTTCTTTCGGTTCATGGTGTTTATTTAATAACGCTATACACGAGCAAGTGGGTACAAGCGGTGACGCTTCTGACTTGTATTCGGCAGGTACTCACTTCGAATCTGGGCCCAACCACCGGACGTCCTCAGATCTGTTACGGATTTCCTCAGTACCTCGTTTATGCCACAACGGCTTCCTTGCAAGTCCTTTGCATTAATCGGTTATACCATCATCTCACACTGTAGTCTCGCTATCCCCAAGCGTCGTTAAATAACCTACACCAGCAAAAACCCTGTCTTTGTTTCGTGGTTTTACTCAGTATCTCAATGCAAATATCAAAACAACACCCTGACTGTGGTGTTTGGTGGTTCTGCTCAGTATCTCCAGGAAAATGTCGAAACAATTCGCTATGTTGTTTGTTGGTTTTACTCAGTGTCTCCAGGCAAATGTAGAAACAATACATTGACTGTGGTGTTTACTAGTTTTACTCAGTATCACCAGGCATATGTCAAAATACCTTAAATCAGTCCACGACCACTTCCACGTCTTCCGATTCACTTACCAATCATTCTACGCTATACAGCCCGACTTACTGACAGCGTCGTTAAATAAGCAACGTTGTCGGCAACTCAAATTATTCGTATAGAGCACGGCAACAACGGCCT